CTCACTTGGTAGCCCAGGCTGGCCTCGAACTCACAGAGATCCGCCTGGCTCTGCCTCCCGAGTGCTGGGATTAAAGGCGTGCGCCACCAACGCCCGGCTTATAACAATTATTTTAATAAAAGGGAATGAAACAGAAATATACCTATCATAATGTTCTTTGAATCATATTGTACATAGGATATAAGCCATATTTTAAAAAAGGTATATACATACCTAAAGGTATAAATTGCTTATCTTGGAATGATGAAAATGTGTGTTTCCCTTTAGCATTTTACTTTTTTTTTGTTTGTTTTTGTTTTTTTTGAGACGGTGTTTCTCTGTGTAGTTTTGGAGCCTGTCCTGGATCTCACTCTGTAGACCAGGCTGGCCTTGAACTCAAAAGATCCGCCTGGCTCTGCCTCCCAGTGCTGGGATTAAAGGTGTGTGCCACCACCACCCGGCATATTTTACTTATTGTTGATTCATACTTTTCATTCAATGGCTACCTTACACACAAACGTAGAAAATTACCTTTTTCGTGGAAATTTGCGTGGCACTATAATCACTAATTTTGAAGAGAAAAACACAACAAGAAGTTTGAAATGAAAACCAAAAAAATTTTAAACAATGGTTTTTACTGAACATCTCTCAAAACTTTGCCATCCCACCCTGACCCTGGCAACCACATTTTCCCTCTTAGCCTTTATGAGTTAGACTTTTTGGTTGCCACATATCAGTGAGGGCACACACTATTTGTCTTCCTGACTCTACTTAATACAATGCCAACAGGCTCCCTGATATACATCATGATTTCCTTTTTTTCAGGGCAGGCGATATTCCATTGTGTGTGCACATCCGTTTCTTTATTCACTCACCTGTTGATACTTAGATTGTTTCCATACCTTAATTATTGTAAATGATACTGAAATGGATATGAGAAGGTATCTGTTTGAGATACTGACTTTAAACATATTTATTTTTATTTATGGACACGTGTCTGTTAGTGAATGTCACTTGTGTGCGGGTATCCAGAGGCCAAAAGAGGGCAATGGACCCCCTGGAGCTGGAGTTACAGGCAATTAAGAGCCTTCCAAACTTGAGTCCTCTGAAGAGCAGCAAGTGCTCTTAACTGCGCAGCCACATCCCCAGCCCGCTTTTTTGTTTGTTTGTTTTTTGTTTGTTCTTCATCTTCTTCTTATTAATTATTATTATTATTCCTCCTCCTTTTTTTTAGTGCTTTTTTTTTTTTTTTGGTTTTTCAAGACAGGGTTTCTCTGTGTAGCTTTGTGCCTTTCCTGGAACTCACTCTGTAGCCCAGGCTGGCCTTGAACTCACAGAGATCCGCCTGCCTCTACCTCTCAAATGCTGGGATTAAAGGTGTGCACCACCACCGCACAGCTAGCCCTTGGATTTTTGAGATGGGTTCTTACTCTGTAGTCCAGGCTGGTCTTGAACTTGAGATCCTCCTGCCTATGGCTCCTCAACACTGGGATTACAGACCAATGCCACTGACACCATCTAAAAACTCCTTTTCTTATTGTTCAATAAGTTAACATGTCACCATTTTCTCAAGTGTTTATGGTGTCAGGGAAGTCTACGCTTTGTTTTTGAAAATAATTCTAGCTGGGAGTGGTGGCACATTCCTGTTATCCTGTAGCACTGGGTAGGAGGATTTTAAGTTTGAAACCAGCGTGGGCTACTAAAAAGTTTATAATTGTACTTCTTAAGTCCTCTGTTGAGTTTCTGGACAACCTTGGAGGACTGCTGTACAGGTCTCTGAAGACACTACTCTTGATACAAATACAGATCACATCTCAGGAAGCTAGGCTCTTATGCATTTGTCTATTTGTTGCAGATAACCTTATAAATTCATCAAACAGATTTAAAGTTTCATTGAGGTCACAGCTATTAAAATAAGAATGCAGGTTTTAGCTGGGGTGGTGGCCAATACCTTTAAACCCAGTACTCCGGAAGCAGAGTCAAGTAGATTTCTGTAAATTCCAGGCCAGACAAGACTACTTAGTACGACCCTCTCTCAAAAAAGCAAAGCAAATAAGCAAGAAAAAAAAAAAAAAGAATTCGGATTCCAGGTTTTTTCTGCTGTGAAATTTACTAGTAGAGTATATGCAGTCAATGGATTCTATTTAAAAATAATTGAACTTGAAAAATCTAATTTTAACACTTTCCTTAATTGTTCAAAGATAGCAAAACAACATGTGCATTGTAAGTCAGAAGGCCAGTTTTGAATTATCACCAAGCAAGTGAGAGTGAGCCAATGCTGATATAGCCAATGCAAGTATAGTTCTCTCCCAAAGGTCAAAAGAGAATGTCTTTAAAAGGTTGGAGGGGATCAGTGCTCAGTCCCTCACCAGTCTGCAGGTCTGAGCAAATAACGTTCACCTGAAGATTAATGTTATTTTCTCCTGTCTCATCCTAAATCCACCTCCTTGTTTACATTGTTTGACCACGCCCTTACCCTTGGTGGGAGGGGAAGTTTGGAGGGGGAGACGAACCTGCACCTTCTGCTTCTCAGGGCGTTTGACCTCGCTTGGCTTTCCTTCCGCTGTATTTGGACACGGATTTTATTATGAACAGATGCTCCGTTCTAAGGAGTCCTCGGAAGTCTTAGCCAATACACATGGCTTCATCGCAGCATAGAGGAGAGAATGTATTAAAACTGGGCACACGGTCCCAGGCCGAGCTGCAGGTCCAATGCCGTGTGGCCCGACAGAGCCCTGGGACTGGAGTTCGCCTTCTCCTAACTGACGCTAAACTCGTGGCTTTCCCGGCCAAAGCGCAAAAGGGTATTTCAGCTCTGAAAAAGTTTCCGAATAATTTTTAAAATGTGATTTTACTTATTAATGGGGGGTGGGCGTGGGGTAGGTGCTACAGATCTCGATTGGAAGTGAGATGACAACCTCCCGGAATCCCGTCTCTCCTTCCACCGAGGACACACAGGCTCGCTCCGAGTGTCAGGCTCGTGGTTTGAGTCTGGTTTCTATCTCCAGCACCAAGTAAATACATTCCAACACCTGGCTTGTCAGGGTCGCTCTTCCTTCCCCAAGGCCCGGGCCAGTGAAACCCAGAAAAGCCGTTCACTTGTGGGACAAAAGCACGTCGACCGGGTGTGCACGGGAGGCGGAGGACTCGGCACCAAGCGGGGACAGGAGCTTCCCGGGCCCCAGCCTCCCGCACGCTCCGGGTTAGGACAGCGGCTCCGCCCAGCCGGCGGGGGGCGCCCGCGCCCGCACTTTTCCCGCCCTCTCGGTGGCCCTGCAGCCCGGCCTCCCGCCGCCGCCTCTCCGCGGGTGCGGAGGTTCCTGTTCCGGGGCGCGAGGGCCCCGGATGCGGGCGTGCTATATAAGCGCGCGGCGGCGGCGGCGCGCTCCTTTCCGAGGCGTGGCGCTGCGTGCGGCGGAGCTCCGTCCGGCCTGCTCCCGTCCTGACTCACCGCTGTTCGCTCCTGCTGAGGAACAAGTCGGTCAGGAAGCCGCGCCGCAGCCATGGCCTTTAAAGACACCGGGAAGACGCCCGTGGAGCCCGAGGTGGCGATCCACCGGATCCGGATCACGCTCACCAGCCGCAACGTGAAGTCGCTGGAGAAGGGTCAGTAGGGCGGCGCCGCGCGCCTTGGCACCCTGGCTGGGGCGGTCGGCCGTGAGGAGACCCCTGCTGTGTTGACGTGCGGTGATGCTGCTTATACGCTATTCTGAGCCGACAGGCCGGCGTCCCGGCGGCGGCGGCGGTCATTTTGAGTTAACTGAGCCACCGTGTTTGTTTATCTGCAGTGTGTGCCGACTTGATCAGGGGCGCGAAGGAAAAGAACCTGAAGGTGAAAGGACCGGTGCGCATGCCTACCAAGGTACGTGACGGAACCTTACAGTGGTATGAAACAGGCGGCGTTGGTGTTTCGGGGTTTGGTTGCCAGAGGAATTCTTACAGGAAGAAACGGAAGTTGGTACCATTTAGCACGTACTAGGTGCCTGGTGGTGATTGGATGTGAGCACTCCAAGGGTGCCGCTGCCATGTGAGAGTTGCTGCTCTCTGAAGCCTGTTAGTGTCCGGGGGAAATGGTTTAGAAGTACACTACAGTTTGTTTTGTTTTATTGCAGACACTGAGAATCACTACAAGAAAAACACCTTGTGGTGAAGGTTCCAAGACGTGGGATCGTTTCCAAATGAGAATCCACAAGCGACTCATTGACTTGCACAGTCCTTCCGAGATTGTTAAACAGATCACTTCCATCAGTATTGAGCCAGGAGTGGAGGTTGAAGTCACTATTGCGGATGCCTAAGTCAGCTAAATAAATTGACTTAATCACTTGTTAAATTTTGTTGGCCTTTATTCAGAAAACAGGTTTTTTAAAAAATTTTATTGATGTTTTGAGAGTTTCATATGTGTGCAGGGGTGTCAGATTACCTGGGACTGTAGATAGACCATTTTGACCCACCATGTAAGTGCTGGAAACTGAACCTGAGTCCTCAGCAAGAGAACAAGTGTTTAACTGCTGAGAAAGCAATTCAGCTGTAAACTACTTAGAGGTGTGCTGAGAAGGTCCTAGAGCACTAAACGATTTAAAAGGTTAAATTAGGTTGATACCAGAGAGTGATTACTTGACCCTTAAGTCTGGGGTTTTTTGTTTGGGACAGGGTCTCAATGTAGACCAGGCTGGCCTCAACTCACAGAAATACATCTGGCTGCCTTTGCTTCCATGCTTGGCTAGACTGGGTTATTTGAAATGGTGTCTACATCCCAGGCCATGCTTAGGCACTAAGCCCAGCTTACTTTGAGTCTTGGAGAAGGTTACTAATGTAAAGATGTCCAAAGACTGTGCACTAAGTGAAATTAGGCCTTTTCCAGTTACTTTTCTGCTTTTCCAGAAAAGGCAGGGTGGCAGAGTCTGTCAAAGTACTTGGAGCACTCAAAGGCTCGCTCTTAGTCCCAACTTTTGGTTTTTGTGCCTTGAACTCAAGCCTGCATATACCATTTTTTGACCTACTGAACCACCTAATCCCATGTAAAACTTGAATCCCTTGGTCATGTGATTAACTGAAAAAACATCCTAGAACTCACAATGTTAACCTAGATAGATTTCACAGCAGGTCTTAATACGATAGGGAAGTTAACATGCTATGTAAGGACTAGAGAGATCCAGAAGCTGGTTTTGAGTACTGAACTTTTAGCAGTGTTCTACTAGTTTACTAGTGTTGAGGTTGGGCTTAGTTGGTGGTGGGTTTTTGGTTTTTGGTTTTTTTTGTTTGTTTTTTTAATAGGTTTCTCTGTAGTTTTGGTGCCTGTCCTGGATCTCTCTGTAGACCAGGCTGGCCTCCCACTCATAAGAGATCCACCTGGCTCTGCCTCTTAAGTGCTGGGATTAAAGATGTGTGCCACTGTTTTTTTTTTGTTTTTTTGTTTTTTGTTTTTTGTTTTTTTGTAAGCTGGGCCTGTTTTCATTTAGTATGTAAAGAGCATGGATCAAAACTAATGCTTTACAAACTAAATGCACAAGCTGGGTGGCAATCCAAACATTTAATCCTAGCAGAAGCAGGTGGGTCTCTAAAGTGAAGCCAATCTAGTCTATATTAAGTTTCAGCCAGGGCTGCATAGTAAGACCCAGTCCAAAAACAAAATTTGGAAAGTTTTAAATATAATTCTTTCAAGTTTTCAAAATACTTCCTAAGATAAAAAATCACTTTTAAAGCCTTGAGAATCTAAGAAGGAAGGCTAACAGGCTAACTAGTTAATGGCCATGAATCATGGTTATGTGAATCTTGTATGAATGAGTTAAAGGTAAAATTGACTTTCCCTGATTCAGAACACTGCCTTTTAGAAATGTGACCTAGCAATTTCTAAGGAGTTGAAGCCACTTCATTGTATCAGATTTCTGCACCTGACATCCCTGGGGCCTTATGTGTATGGTTTGTGGATGTAAAGTAAAACAGGCAAGAGGATGTTGAGTGGAAAGTTTGGCTGCAGAGTCAAATTCCAAATTTAGATTCTTGGATTGGAAGGCTGGATCAAGTTAGAAGATTGCCTTAAAACTAAATTCTTTTGTGACTAACAATATCTGCTTCAAATGCTTATATGGGTACTTAAATTCTGAGACACTTCGCTATGGGCATGGATTTCCAGAGAACAAGGCAGCCAGTGGTATTAGTTACTTGAAAGGATTCTTTGAGAACTATATTTCAGATCCCAGTTATGAGGTTTCTAACTGGATCATCCTGGGGGGCGGGGAGAGGGGTGGGGCAGGTCTAACTGGAGAAAATGGCACAAGTGAAGTTTTATCTTTTGAAATTAAGTGAAATGAACCTTTATTTTCATCCTAGGAATAGCATGTTTTACTTTCGGAGCATATCAAGTTAAATTGCTGTTCATTTTGTTTTACAAGGAAGTTATTTTCACTTCACATTTTGTAGTTACTATTTTTCATTAACTTAAAAACACCCCCCCCCCCCAAATAGTGTTACTAAAATTGTAAATTATGTAATTTTTTTCATCACTATAGAGATTCTCATTTTGTTTTTGGGAATCAAAACTCAAGGCCTTTCGTGATAGGCTTTAGACTTAATTTATAATAACATAGTACGTAAACGTAGTGTGATTCCATATGAGTAGAAAGCATGTACGATGAAATCAGGGTAGTTTGAAATGGCATCTACTTAGAAGCACCATTTCTTTATGCCGTGAATCACTCATACTTTGTAAAATAGAAGTTATTCTGAAAGTCACCCTAGTGTGCTGTTAAAGACTAGCTTACTCCAGTGTCACTATTTTGGACAGCTTATCCAATATTTTTCCATTCTTTCCCTTAGCCTCTGGTGACCTATTGTTTCTACTTACACGAATGAATTAACTCTAGCATCCGTACATGAGAACATGCAGTATTTTTCTGTGCCTCATTTATTTAATATTTTGTCCTCTAGTTTTATCTATATGACTATAAATTGGATTTCTTAATTTTTTCCTCTGGCTGAATATTTCATATTTGTGTGTATCTGCAGCTTATTTCTCTGCATATGTAGATAAACACATTCTTTCCTATAAATAATAGGTTGCATGAATACCTTTTTTTAGCCTCATTCCTCTTAAGTCTTTTAGATATTTTCAAGGAGTTTGCTATTAAAAGCACAATTTCAATTAAATGTTTGTAATAGTGTCTTCCCACCTGGATTTATAAGAAAGTACTACTAGAAGTCAAATTTCTGAATTTTGAATGCACTGTGAATGTGTGCACTCAACTGATAGAATTTCTTCTAGGACTGGCAAGGTAACTCGGTAAAGCCAACTAGTTGCCAGTTATGACAGCCTGAGTTCAATCCCAGGATCTTCAGGATGAAAATGAACTCCCACAGGTTACTCCCTGACCTATACACAAATAATAAGTAAATGCAAAAAAAGTTTAAATAGCCATTTAAAACATAAGCATATACTAAATGCTCATGTATGAACATTTTTCTGGGATATTTTTTTTTTGTTTGTTTTTGTTTTTTTTGTTTTTGTTTTTTTGTTTTTCGAGACAGGGTTTCTCTGTGTAGCTTTGCGCCTTTCCTGGAACTCACTTGGTAGTCCAGGCTGGCCTCGAACTCACAGAGATCCGCCTGGCTCTGCCTCCCGAGTGCTGGGATTAAAGGCGTGCGCCACCACCGCCCGGCTCTGGGATATTTTAAGAGAAAAATTTTCAGAGATTTTTAAGAAAGGTTTCAGTCATAGATTATGGGAATTTTCATTTTCAGTAAAATAATGAAAATGTTGCCTTTAAATGACTGCATTTATGTTCCCACCATCATGAGAGTGCAAAGGCATTCTGATGTACACAAGGTCTGTTGGAGTTCTGTCATCTCCCACATCTCTCTTCTGGGACTCCTGTTAGCTATGTGGCCTTCTGGAGGGCCTGCTTCTTCTGTGTGTCCTTTTAGTTCTTTTGATTTTACATTCAGAGAAATTTTCTCAACTGTCTTGCCAGCATTTCTGTTGATTTATTTTTCAATTTCATTATCTTGATTTTTAAAAATACTCTTATAATTGAAAGCTTCAAACACACTCAATGGTAAGTTACAGCTTAGCTTTAAGGATTGCCAATGGTGTTGCTTGTATTTCATGTATGACTGCGCACTCCCCTCAGAATATTTCAAATCCAATTCCAGTTGTAATATTTTAGCATATGTACATACATATATGTATGCTAAAGGATAACTTAATTTTATGGTTAGGAGAGTTTTTCCTGAATGTATGTCAGTGCACCACATGTGTGCCTGGTACTCAAAGAGGCCAGAAGAGAGTGTTGGTGAATCCCTTGAATTGGAGTTAGAAATAGTTGTAAGTTTCTAAGAAAGTGTTGGCAGTTGAACCCCAGTCCTTGGAAAGAAACAAGTCCTCCCAACCACTGGGCCATTCCTTTGGCCAGTAAGATAAGCTGTTACCAAGATCACGCTAGCCAAAATTGGGGCGTAGAAGGGGGAGGTACTGTCCAGGCCCCATCCTGAACTGAGGAGATATTGGCAGTTGATAGCTGCTGAGGGAAGGAGAATCACTCTTAATTGAGAGTTCCTCTGGAAGGTTTCCGTTGTTCTAATGGATGGCCCTGTACCCATGCTTCGTGGCTTTATCGAAAACAAAAAGATGAAGCTGGGGGAGAAATGAGGGAGTTGGAGAATGGAGATTACATCTGATTATATTTCATTGTATATTTGTATGACTATCTCAATAAAATTATAGA